AGGAATGGTCATCCGACCCTATCGGGTTTTTATAAGGTTAGAATAGTCATTTCACAGTTTTGAAAGTTTATAAAATGGCGTGACTGTCCAACTTCCATTCACTTCCGTCCGAAACCACCTCCCTAGTCCTCTGAAACTCTTTCTAATCGTTACCCATGGCTGATAATGACCTTCTCCCATTTCCTTCTAACTCTCCCATTAGATTCAACGAACTAAATACACCATCAAACATCAATACTTCCTTCGGGAACATGGTGGTAAAGGCTCTTGTCATGGCCATTACTGATGGCATTAACCCGAAACTTGCTTATATCGTTACTCATGCAAGGAGGCATGGGTTAGGACATCCTTGCGGGGGTGCTAGAAGTAGTAGGTGGGTAGAGGCTGATGGGCCCGTATAGACTTGGGCACACGGGTGAGGACAGTATTATGGTTAGGGATAGGCCCCACATAAGTGACATGGTAGTCTAGGCATTCGAGGTCAACAAGGACGATAATGCAGCCCTGCTTCATTGTCTCCATATATTCCAGACATCCAGCACGAGGTTTGGCTATCTCAAGAATTGATCATCTCTTTCTAAATGGCTTTATTTCGTTTTGATTGAAACTTCTTTTTTCTACGAGACAGAGCTGTGTTACCTAAGGTTATCGTCATCAGCAGCGATGATGACGATAATTATGTGCCTAATGGACCCCTTGACTACTCTTCTGCTGGCATCAGTAATTTGGACAGCGAGGCTAGTGGCGATGATGACGGCTTTGGTGGATTTAGCATTTCACTGCCTACTAGGATGATGGCTCTAGCTGCCTAGCTTTGCTTAGCTTTTGCTCTACTTTTCCCTTATTTTTCTTCTTCTTTCTTTCTTTGTATAACTTGTAGGAACTTTGAATGTAATCTCCTCATGGGACATTTTGTAACTGCTTTTGTAAACAACTTGTGTCGTTCATGGCCCACATATGTATAAACACTCTTTTGCTTGTGGATGACTCTTGAATTTTTGCCCTACTCTACTTTTGAATGTCTGCACACATGTGTAACTACCTTTTTCTCTCTCAAATCCTATAAATACCCTCATGTTCCGGTCGTAACACTCTGAAATTCAGTAGATCCCCCAAACCACCTTCCCTAGAGCTTGCCGACTGATACCATAGATGGTTGGCTAAATATGAATTTCGGCTGATTCATTCGGGCATATCCTGAGCTGGTCTTGGCTTTTGACTTTTTCACTTCTGAGAATGTGTAAAAAGGTGGTACTTCGACTGGTTCACAACCTTCTCTTACTTCAAATGGTTCACAACCTCTCTCTCTCTTTCTCTCTCTCTCTCTCTCTCTTTCATTTCTAGTGTCTCTCGAGATATGGGTTCTCTTTATCGCTTAGGCTTTGTTGGTTTGTCTGATGAGAGCTCTGATGATGCTATAGTCTTTAACTTGGAAGTAATACGCTTAAGATCCCATTCTAGCGGTTGGAGGGGGGGTTAGGAGAAGACTTGTCTGTAGGAGGAGAAAGGAGCCGTGGGTTGTCCTAGAGGAACCCACCATTGATAATAGAAGAATGTTTGCGGCTGCAACGAAGTTAACAGTCGATCATTGAACTATGCTCATGCTCGTGGCCATTTTTACGGACTTAGCTCGACACCAACTCATGGGTTCAACCAAAATTCCTTGGCCATGGGGTCTTTTCTCCTTCATCCAACTAACTTGCTAGAGGTAAAACACTCTAACCTTGTAGCTCATTTCCCATTCTGTATCGTCGTTCTTCACTTCTCTCTTTAATAACATGGCTCTCTTAGTTTTAGGATGACAACTTGGCTCACTCCGACTGCCCACTCTGGATTCTCCGATGGTGAGTAGCAATGAAGAAGATGACATAGAAACCACTTCTGATGCTGATGAAAACTCTAATGATCATGGTCACTCCAACGATGACATCAATGCACTAGGAAACCTTTCACGCTCCTTGCAGCACTGTGGCCTTTCTTCTACAACTTAGGCTAACTTTGGGTGCATCATTTCTTTATTTTGCTTCTCGAAGGACAAGGGACGCATCTTTGTGCACATAAAGAACTCGGCGCTTATGAAATTAGGATGTTTAGGACTTGCATGTCCTAGAACCATCCCTTATGAAATATAGTTGCTTTGTAATGATTAGGACCTTCTTTTTGGCTTTGAAAAAGTCATGTAATACTCTTATGTTTAATGGAAATCCTTTTTATGCATCAATTAGCCTCCTTTGTTTACGTGGCTTGGTCTTTTGGGCACATACTTGACGTGTTAACTTCACACTGAGCCTGATTTGCATCAATCCCTCTTTTTAGCCACAAACACAGTTGATTCAAACAAAAATAAAACTCTCCCTATACAAAACACCCCTGTCAGTCACTTATTTCAGTCACTGGGTACAAAACTGGCTGGCCGAACATATGATGGTTCAGTTCGCTCTTTTAGGTGTTTTAGGGACGATTTTTTCTTTTTGCCTCCCGAAAAGTTTATAAAAGCAAACCAACAGTTTAGTTTGACTCCACACCATCTGAAAACATCTTCCCTCTCATTTCACTCTCTCTCTCTAGATTTCCTCCTTCCCTTGCATTACCCAACGACCCATGCCCTTTTGTCTCCGAAACCACCACTTTCCTGTACACTTTGAACCGATTAGTTTGTGATTTGATGGAGTTTTGAGTTTCCTACCCTTCATTACGTGTTTCACACGTCTTGGCTTAGCCTCTCGCTCACTTTCTTTGGTTCTTTGCATTTTTCTTTGTTTTTCGGGTTTTTGGGTCCTCTGGTTGGACTTTTGGTTTTCTTCCTCCATCTCCCTCATTTTTAGGCGCGCACACACCTATTCTTTCTTGATGAATGCCAATATCCCTCACGAGGATATTCTTCTTGTCTTCCCAGAGGCTAATATGTCTTTCCCGCCCCCCCGAGGCCGATGTACATATGCTTGTCGAGGACATAGGTGTCCAATTGGATGACCTATACATGGCAGCGTAGGACATCGTTTCTTCTATGTTTGGTCCTAAGTTACTACACTGCGTCTTAGACCATTTGAGCCGGCTACTTACCATTCTAACATCCACTGCATTATTCACGGAAGCATGCTTACATTCACTAAGTTTTAACCAGGGGTTGCTTTGGACGTGCTTCTTCGGCAGTGACAGTTACACCTATCCTACAGTGCCCGACTAGTAAGCCTTGATACCAAACTCACGTATTTATTTACATTTGCTCATATTTGTAATATACTAATCACCTTTCTAATAGGATGACGACCGCTAGATGAAGGGCTATGGGATCGTCATATTCCTTCGCCGATGGTACCAAGTTCTTCTTGTTAGAGTCCGGGAATTGGTGGAGCAGGCCAGCTTTGGCACGTTCTACTCGGGATCAACTAGATACAAGCTACACGATCGGCTATCAAGGCTCTTATACCACTAACTACTTCCACTTCTTTTCCATAGGGGAGATGATGATGACCTCCTATGACTTCTTCATGATTACTGGTCTTCCGATAAAGGTGATCCAATCCCTTTTAACTCAGATATGGGATCTTGAGATGCCACTCAGCTTCATTTACTTGAGGCCATTCCCCCGAAGGATAGCCCGGGGATCATCCGTTATAGCTGGCTACACCAGAGGTTCCACAGTATATACCTTGCCACCCTAGAGGCCACTTCTCAGTACGCCTGCGGATTCCTTCTTTATGTCCTCGGTATTACCCTATTTGCGAATAGGGAAGGGGGTTCTATGGCATCCAAAAAATTTGAAGAGTTCTACATCCTCTCATGTACCACTGTTACCAGTCATGTCATTAAACCCTATGTCAGGAAAGAGAACGGATAGTACGGGACAAAGTGGGATCACTTGTCATCAATATGGTGAGCAGGGTTACAAGTCCACTACATCTCTATAAAGGGGTAACCAACACCGTCAGCCTTCTACTCACCTATAGGATCATACCTTAGGTAGAGGTCAATCGCCCGTTTGTTATCAGTGTGGCCAGCTGGGTCATATGAAGAAGTTGTGTCCCCAGATTGCCGAAGTGGCTAGTGCTTTAGGATTTCATGCAGGATAGAGCCAAAGGCAGACTCATCAGCTAAGTCTGGACAAGCGTCTAGAGTTGTACATAGGATTACCTCCGCACAGTCCGTGCAACATGCCTATCATCAAAGGGGTAACCAGAGTGAATAGAGATCCAAATGGAGAGTCTATGCAATCATCACATCTGAATAGTCGACTAGGCCAATGGCGGTGCGAGGTACAGACCTTCTATATAATACTTGGGCCAATGTCTTGATAGATACGAGAGCATCTCATTTATTTATAGCATCTAGTTTTGCATCCATGTTCGGGTTAGGGGCAGAACCATTAGAATCTTCTCTCGTAGTAGAATCACCGGTTGGGGGTAAGATGGCGTTGAACCATGGGTGTCGTGAGTGTGTGATTGAAGTTGTTGACTACCGACTTCCTTTTAGTTTGGTGTTGTTAGATGTGATGAGTTTTGATGTCATCCTTGATATAGACTGGTTGTCCTCTTGTTGTCCTCTTGGTTGTCCTCTATGTCACCCTATAGATTCACTCCGGCCGAGTTGCTTGTTTTAAAGGAGCAATTGCAAGAATTGTTAGATAAGGTTTTTATATGCCCTAGTATTTCAACTTGGGGAGCACCATCTCTCTTTGCCGAGAAGAAGGATGGTTCATTGCGGTTATGCATTGATTACCATAAGATAAATAGGGTCACGGTTAAGAATAAGTACCTGTTGCCTAGAAAATAGATGATCTTTTTGACCAACTTAAGGGTTATCAGTGTTTCTGAAAGAAAGATCTAAGATTGGGTTATCATCATTTGCGTGTGAAAGAAGAAAATATTTCGAAGACGGCCTTTCATACTCGATATGGTCACTATGAATTTCTCTACAAGTTTGTGGTAGTTTTTGTCGATGATATTCTTACCCTCTGAGAAGAACATGAGGTGCACCTTCACATTGTGTTGCAATTAGTTATGGAGCACAGGTTGTATGCTAAATATGAGAAATGTCAGTTCTGGCTCTCTAAGGTGAGATTCTTGGGTCACGTTGTTTCTAAGGATGGGGTTGCTGTAGATTCCTCGAAGATTGAGGCGGTACAGAATTGGGAGCAACCTAGGAACGCATTTGAGATTTGTAGATTCTTAGGTCTTACCGGTTACTATAGATGGTTTGTGAAAGACTTCTTCGTGTTAGCTTCTCTGTTGACTAGGCTAACGAGAAAGGGAGTGAAGTTTGTTTGGGATGAATCGTATGAGAAATCCTTCTTAGAGATGAAGGCTAGACTAACTATTGCACCAGTTTTAGTCATTCTAGAAAGAGATTTGGGTTAAACTTTGTACTATGATGCATCTAGGGAAGGTTTGGGATATGTTTCGATGCAAGAAGGTAAGGTAGTGGTGTATGGTTCACGCCAATTTAAAACCCACAAAAGAAATTACACGACTCATGATTTAGAGTTAGCTGCAGTCATTTTTGCTCTAAAACTATGTAGACATTACTTGTATGAGGAGAAGTTTAAGGTGTTCTCAGATCATAAAAGACATAAATACGTATTTTCCCAAAAGGATTTGAATTTACATTGAAGAAGGTGGATGGAATTTTTAGAGGATTACGATTTTGAATTACACTACCATCTCGGAAAAGCCAATGTGGTGGCCAATGCCTTGAATAGAAAATCTGTAAGTGTCATTGCTAATCTTGCAATTAGGGAATGTGAAATTTTGGGTTATTTGGGTGAATTTGAATTGCATCTTAGTGAATCTCGTGAGCATGCCACTTTGTTTTCCGTCCTTGCATAATTGACAATTGTTACTTGGGTTATAAAGGCACAAAAAGTTAACCTGGAAGTTCAAGTAATCAAGAAGAAAATAGCACAGGGGAAGGAGGAAAAGGATTTGAGGGTAGATTCCAATTCTAATGTCTGGTATTTAGACCGCTTTTTGTACCTGAATCATGTAGAGACGAGGTACTTTGGGAATTTCACAACTCCTGTCTTGTAGTACATCCGCGCAGCAAAAAATGTACGATGACCATAACCGATAATTTTGGTGGAGGGGTATGAAGCGGGATGTGGCTTCATTTGTGCCCAAGTGTTTAACTTGCCCACAAGTCAAGGCGGAACATCAACGACCAACCGGGTTATTGCAACCCTTGCCTATCGCGGAATGGAAGTGGGAACATAGCACTATGGACTTTGTTTCGAGCCTCCCTAGAACACGAAGGGGTAATGACGTAGTTTGAGTAGTGGTGGATTCACTAACTAAGTGGCTCATTTTCTCGCTATATATATGGGGGACTCAGTTGATTACTTGGCGAAACTTTATGTTGAAGAGATTGCTCGGCTTCATGGAGTTTTGGTGAGTATTGTCTCAGGTCGAGACGTCCGTTTTACCACACGGTTGTGGCAAAGCCTACAAACTATTATGGGCACTCAGTTAACTTTTAGCACTACATACCACCCACAAATCGATGGACAATCGGAGTGCACTATCCAAATCTTGGAAGACGTGTTGAGAGCTTGTGTGCTAGATTTTAAATGTTCTTGGGAAAGACAACTACCTTTAGTAGAATTTACCTATAATAATAATTATCAAGCTAGCATTGGAATGGCTACTTTTGATGTTTTGTATGGGAGACCATGTAGGTTCCCGGTGTGTTGGACTAAGGTGAGACATTTACCTATGCTTCGATCGGAATTGGGTCGCAAGACCACTGAGAAAATAGCTCTCATTCAGAAACAATTAGTTACAGCTCAGAGTCGACAAAAATGCTATGCAGACTGGATGAGAAGACCCTTATCTTATAGAACAGATGGGAGAGGTAGTTGACCGCCTTGCATTGCCACCGTAATTATCCAGCATGCACAATCTGTTCCATGTTTCAATCATATTTTGGATTGGACAAATTTAGAGATGGGCGAAAATGCGTTATATGAAGAGAGACCGACGAAAATCTTGGACACCCGAGAACAAGTTTTTATAGGCAAAGTCATTCCTTTAGTTAAAGTGTTATGGCGTCACCATGGGGTAGAAGAGGCCACTAGGGAGGGAGAAGCTAAAGTTTGTAAGAAATACCCCGATTTATTTAATGATATGTAAACTTGCTTATTTGTTATTAGGTTATTTTATGGGAGGTTGTAAAAGGAAGTATATGAAAGAAATCTAAATTCTCATGGTACTTGTAGACACCCCATTTTTTACCGTCCTCAAGACTCAGACGTCATCATTTGAACACTCGATGATCATCCATGCACGTGTTCATTTTGAGTTCCCATAGGTCTCGGCCACGCGCCTTGCCTCAATCTCTCAACTTGACTATTTTGTGCTTGGTTGTGGACCAAGCACTTGCGTTTTTGCTTCTGAGGGAAGAGGGTGGCTTGTTGGTGATTTCCTCAACCCATCGGCCACGGCATGATGCCATCGGCCCTGTTTTCTTGCCATCGGCCAAAAGTGTTGGCCGATTGGCACTCTTTTTGGTCGGTCGGCCCTTATGTTGGTCGATCGGCCATGTTTTCTGGCCGAACCCTGTTCATCTGCTTTATGCAGATATTTTATGCCAGCCAGCTGGCATCCACAATTCCCCCCCTCCATACACGTGTATGGAGGGTTTGCCCCTTGATTAGCTTGCTTAGGAAGCTTTAGAATTTGGAATTCTATAAGAGGGGAGGCCCTCCTCCCTTCTCCAGGGTTTAGAAAAATAGAGTCTTGAGTGATACATATAGTTTTGTATCTATATTCTCTTGTTTGATCTTGTTTTGTGCTCTAAAGTGTAGTATTGTCTTACTATTGTACACAAACACACACTAGAACACCATCCTCTTGGAGCTGAGGTCCCTTGAGGTTGATTTCAGAGTTCTTGGGTTGGTTTGAGCTTGGAAAACCTGCTGGAACTTTGTTCTTGAAAGTGTTCTTCAAGGGTGAGCAAACTTGCTTTTAATACCCCTTTCTTCCTTAAGCTTTTAGACCTTCTTGCTTATTGTTTTAAGCTTAACTCTAAACTACAGGAAGTTTTGATTTTTGATGCTCTAGATCTTTGGTTAAGGTCTCGTTTGGGTTTGGGGTTGTTTCCCCCCTCCAAGGCCTTGTTTGGCCTTGTCTTAGGCCATCCCTTTTGGCCCTTGTTCTTAGCTTTGCATGACCTTTCTACCACTGAAATCCAGAGTATTTTCAGTGATGGGAAGGTGGTTTTGGATAAATAGGAGAGGGTCATCCCCTCTCCTTGTTGTCTTGTATGCTTGCATAAATGGCTTATGTTAGTGGCATGTTTGCTTAGCTTGTTTTAGATCCATTTCAACAAGTATTTGGTGTTATTTTTCCATGATATACCTCTATTTCAAGTTGGTTTAATGGCCTCTTACATGCTCCATATACTTGTCTTGCAATCCTCTCATTTGCCTTAATATGCATCATGTTGTAACATGTCATTTTAGCATGCTTTTGGCTTAGCTCTGAGAAGACTTTGTTCATGTTTTACCATGTTTAAGGTCTGATTTATGTTGTCTTGGTCATGCTTGCATTGTTTTGTATAGCTACCACGCAATCTAGCTTGTTAGCTTTGAATGTCCAAGTCACTAGCATGCTTTACTTGGACCATTTCAATGATTTGGCATCACTTGTTATGTTATTTCAGTCCATATAGTATGCTCATATACTTGCACTTATCACTCCTTTAATGCTTTAAAGAGTTGATGTTTTATACCTCATGAATAAACCATTGTGTATGCCTCCATACTTAGGTCTTTGGGATACCATCTAAGTGGGTTTTGGGGCTTATTTTGATATGCCATAACTCTATTTTTATTGGTTTAAGTCATGCCATGAATTGTTTTGATAGGTGTAGTGTAACACCTCTTTTGTAGCCTTGCATTCCTCATGCTTTCGGCCCTTTGTTCTAGCATGTTTTGGACTCATTCCTTGCATGTTTTAGGCTCACTTTCGTATGCTTTAGGACTGTTTTGGTTCACTTTGGCCATTTGCTTCCTGTTTCACATAGCCATGGTTTGATTCCCTTGGGTAGTCTTAAGCTGTGGGCTTTCTTGCATGCTTTGCTTGTGCACTTTGGCTGGTTTGGCATCTTTCCTAACATGATTTCAGAGCGAACAATGTATGTCACATGTCCGTGTTTGTCCTCTTTTAAGTGTTCTTGAAAGTTGCCCTCCTATGCCTAGGTGTTGGACCATTTACATGTGCATATTTGCTTTGCATTTTCATGCTTCCAATTCTTGACATTGGCCACTGATTTGGGCATGTTTGAGAATAGCCCATTTTAGTTTAAGTCCATCTTACCATGTTGTTGTATGCTTGTCTCATTTTGCATGTTGTTGCATGCTATGCATGTTTGCATATTTAGGTTGTATGCCTATTGCATATTGTATGCTTGCATGCTCATGTTGCATTAGATTTGTATTATGCTTGAGTTGTTTGCATGCTTGCTTGCATGCTTAGGTTGCATTGCATTGTGTGTGCATTGCCTTGCCTCTTGATCAAGCATGATAGAGGTTGAGGTCCCTTATGTGTTTTTGTGCATTTAATTTGATATTGAATTGCACACTTAGCTCCTTTGGCCATCATGCATTGAAATGCGTGATTGGTGGTCCGAGGGTCGAGAACTACACACCTTTGAGTCTTAAACATGATAAGGGCTATAGTTGTGCAGACATTGTCTTGTAAATGTATTGCCATGCTCTGTTTGTCCTCTGCTGCAGCAACATGAGCTTTTCACAGGAAGAAATGGTCAATCAACCACATTCAGTGTCGATCGGCAACAAACATTTGGCTGAGAACCTTATATTTGGTCGATGACCAATTTACCATGCCCGATGTCCCTATCTTCTGGCTGATAGCCTCCCAGAATGTCCACAAGGTGGTTCAAAAGTGTCACAGAAGTTGGCATAATTTTCAAAGGAATAGAGCAGTGCAAACAGAGGCAACATGAAGCATGGCAACGGATTTCCGAGCAAAGCCGACCGAGCATGCATTCGTCCCTCTTCTCGAGACTGTTTTACTGTTTTTACAGCTTAATTAATTTGTTTAAGTTAGTTAAGTGTTGTGTAATAATTAATTAGCTTATTAGTTAGTTAATTAGTTAATTTCTATTATTCTTTTAGTCCCTCCGTCAAGAGGGCGCAATTTTGTAATAAGCGTGCGCGTATGTGATGCATGTCTTCTAACCCCCATTTCTTTCTCCTTTTTACTTAACCGCTTACGATGGTTAGTTTTAGGGCATATTTCAATTAGCATCCTTATGCTACGCATGTTTGCACCATTCACCTGTATTGCATACACCGGGTTCGGCGCATCATACTAACTGCATTGTATTTCAATTCCTATTT